ACGTAAAACTACGTAACGCGCGACGTAACGCAATCACACAATACAATATCGATTAGTATTTAAACGATACAACAAGCATTCCAGGCTGTACTTTGTGCTATGTGAACCATCTGCCTTATAGTTCAACATCATGTATTTGTACTGGCGCATAATTCTTAAGCCATCACCCTCCTTGATGGCATCTAGAAAATTGAAGAAGAGAAAAAAGTCCATAAGTAAAGCGCAATTATAGTTGTAAATGTCATCTGTTTTCTTTTCTTCTTTTGGCGCTGTTTTTTTTTCTTTTCCTCTTGTGTGGACTCAAAGAGTAGATTATTCATATCTGCTTCAACTTCACCAACTGGGTAAGATCCTGTGCATTCAATTAGGGACTCTTCAACTTGAACAGGTGGGTCATGGGCCATCTCGTGCTTCTTCCTACTTTGTCCATTTTACTTAAATAAGCGGTACCTGAAATACATAATATAAATTATTTACTAAGTTTATTGTGATAATATATTACATATTCAGCCAAGTTTATGTCGTTAACAAGAACAAAGTCTTTTGCATAATTAAAGATTTCAATCCAAAAATCCAGGTAAATACAAAGCAAATAAAAGTTTATTGACATTGTAATCAAGTTTTGAAATTTTAATGTTGGATACTCTTGTAAATAATTCAAAATGTGATAATTATGCAAATAATTTTGTTGTCTTTTTACAACTAATCAATGTAAATGAGATTGACTGTAAATTAATATTTAATATAACATGTACAAAAATTTAACTTCCAGCACTAATGCAAAATTATGCACAGAAAAAAAGTAGTTTAACCAAAGTATTGTAATGTTGTTACTCACCCCACCCCCGAAGGGGTGCTATGTTGTACAGACACGTGCGTTCAGACATGTATGACATGTAAGATCAAGAACGAAGTAAAGGTTTTCTATTTGTGTCTATTCCGTTATCTTCATGACCTCTTCACGTTATTACACTGGTGACAGCGGTTAAAATGTTATTCCAAGACGAAATGGAGTTAACTTGACACCAATGCGAAATCCGTTCAGAACCGAAGGATCGCCTCGAAGTTCAGCGAGCGACAACAACAATCCGTATAGTCCGATTGGTGACTATAACTCGTCACAGAACAAAATGACTTCTGGATTTCGATCACCAGGAGAAGAATTTGTCAATAGCCTTTTAAACACACCAAGAATGGCATCGAAAAACCCGTTTAGAGCCGATCAATTGGATTATGCCGTCATGGCGAACGGACGTGTTTAAGGCTCTCAGCTTCGGACGAGCTTGAAATTTCAATTAAGGTAACAGAGTTATTTTTTATGCTCAAAGAAGTTTGTTACTTTCACTTCCATCGTAAATGAGCAAGAGTAATACAAGAGAACGTGTCTCCAGTTCTGATAAATCGCCTTCACCGAAGAAAGCTAACATGTCTGACGTGTCGTCGAATTAAGCTGATAACGAACCCACGCTCTCAATGATTTACAATCTTCAACTAGAAACCAGGAAAATATTTTTGAAGAGAAAGAAAGGTCAAAGAAGCGCTAGAATTAGTAAGGAGGCAGATTTAGAACAGTTTGATTTCAGAAAGTAAAAATTTTCTCTTTGAATTCAGTAAACTCATTTCTATTTAATTAGATGGAAATTACTACCTCAATAGTGAGTTAAAATAAGCGTAATTGAGCTCGTCCAAAGCTTTTTTTTTTGTTTATTTAAGAGCTTTCATCATTATTAAGTATTGTTTTAGTGTTAAATGTTTGCATAGTTTTTGTTCGTTTAGCTTGGATTATATATTCGCATTACGACTTCACACCGATCTAAGTGTGTCATTGTGAACAGTTCTAATTATAAATTCAGCGCAAGCACAATGCGAAGAAACGAGATAAAACCGGTTTTATCGTCTAACGGTTGTCAAGTTAACAGTGTAAACACAGCTGTCAAATTCGAGCGCGTAATTCAAATCAAGACACTTTATACATGACTTCATCGAAGTATTAAATTTCACGACAAATATGTTTCATTACATCAAAACAGAGTTATCGAGCTGAAACGCTTGATGAAGACGGCGTGTGGAAAGTTTGCCAAATTGAGAACACAAACTATGAAAAACGTTTAATACCGACTCATTGATCGCTTGAGCGGTGTATTTTTTATTTGAATTGTTAAAGTTTTGATTCTTTCGTAAGTTTATATATCTCATAGAGGTAAAGACTTTGGAAAGCAATACGAAGAAGAGAAACGAAACACTCAGATAACTCGCTAGTTTGCTTCCCATCAAACGCTACTTTTCTCCTTCTAGATTGTCAACAATGATGTCGGTCGAAACTTTTAAGTTTACAAACTTTCGATGTCAATTCGTCGCGAATATTTTAGTTTGTTTCGATCATAGAAGGGAAGCGAAACAATCAGATAACTCGCTAGTTTAGCTTGCCATCCAAACACTAGTTTAATGCGATGTCGAAACTCAACTTTCCGATGGCAAACGACGCGAATATGTTTGTTTGTTTGTTTTTTTTTTCAATCGTACTTTAGTGTAATG